CTTTAGGAGAAAGTGAGAGTATACTGGTGACGCAACCTATTTCCGCCCAGTGAATCTCGTAGTTCATTCGAAAACGAGGTAAACGACTAGAATGGGCGGAGAGCAATCTTTACATTCGCCCTAACTCATCGAGAAGGAGATAATCTTTTTCTGTGGTAGAGCTCGTTGTATCTAAATAGAATTGTGTCAATTCTTATGCCAGGCGACACAATCGTGAATCTATAAATTTCGTTTTTCCAGATTTGATCTCTTTCCAAGAGACATTGATGATGAATGATGTATGCCTGCTCTTCGGTTTCAGTTAGTCCGTTTAGGTTAGGTCGCTAATTAGTTCGAATCAAAATTCCACAAATCTTTCGCTTCCACATTTGCTTCACAACAAACATCCTCAGAAACAATTCATCGCTTCCTATCATTCATTTACTCAACTCAATCTAAATAACATCAATCGAGTTCGAGGCTGAATCGAGTATGCCAAACGCACGAATCGAAGTAAAGGATGTATATGTACAATCTTCAGAGGAAAACGTTTGAAAACTCTGACGGAACATCCGGGTTTGATGGAATGGCAGTATATTCTAGTTATAGTGTGCCTGTCTTCTTGATTAATTCCATTGTATCGCTCGTCTCATGAGATCTTCCTTTGCGCTCCTTTGGTATCGAATTTGACATCGCTATTTGATGAAGTTGTCTTCAAATGTTCCGGTACTTCTTGATTTCCAGGTCACCATATTCCTCAACATCTTTATCATCTGCCTTTCCATATCTCCCGAGATTCTATCAAGTGCGGATTACTATGAATTCTCCTTTGCCATCTGCTACATGGGAATCAATCATAGCTTTAGCAAGCTTATGATTTGAATTTCTCGTACTATTGTTCTGTATTTACTTCCTTTCTTGCCTGGTAGATCGGAGGCAAGATGGCATAGTGGTAGCTTTATCTTACAAGACTGTTTATTCTCCCACTCATTCCATGTAATAAGTGATATATTTTCGTGTAATCGTGAATCGTCTTCTCAACTTCCGGATTCATATAGAGCGAGCCCTGAACCGAGACAGTGAAGCGCTGTGTGTGTCGTTGCTGAGTGCTCTCTGTTCACTTTCTCATCGCGTTACTATCTCTACATTCTATTAAGACCATCATTTTTGTCTGCTCCTATCGATTCTAGGGCCAGTTTCGTGTTGTGCGATAGATGCAAGAGATATTCGTCTTAGATTCGCGACGCCCCGAGACTCGGTAATAAGTATTTAGATGTCGGTATTGATAGTTGATAAAGGTCGCTACGATATTCGGTCAATGTCTCTCGGTTCTTTGGATACTGCATTGAATGTCGTTAACTTCAATCTTCATGGTTTAGACTTCAGAAACTTCAATTCATGTGCAAATACCCGCGGTCTTTTCAATCGTTCTCATTGTAGATGGAGATCAAACCATGGAAAAGTTCGGAAGAATTTGGCATATCGGCCATGAATGATTTGTCTCATTCATAGGCTGCGCACAAATTATCTGTACCTATGGATTATCTGTGGATAATCTGCTTTATGGGTTATCCATTAGAAGTTCTATTTGCTCTACAGATTATCTATTGAGGCTTTAAAATTACCTGCTTTGTATAGGTAATCTGTGGATTATTTGCAAATTATCTACGGGTATATAAGTAGATAGATTATTTGCGGATATATAGGTTATCTGTAGATAATTTGCAAATTATTTATAAATAATTCGTGGATATATAGAATCTCTGCTTTTTTCACTTAAAATATGAAGCTATTCCCAGATTATTTTCCAGCCCAAAAGTGATCCAAGCTTAGATTTATACTAATTTTTATATTAATTATAAAATTATATTAATATTATAAAAGATTATGAATAATTATACAATATATGGGTAGATGGATATTTGCGAGTAATTTGTACCCGCCCTGTGGGTTACTCATTCAGATTTTTGAATTATCTGCTCCGCAAACGGATTATCCGCGGATTATCTGTCGAGGCCATTATCCGCCCTGCGGGTACCCGTTGCGCAGCCTACTCATTCAATATCTCAATCTTGAGCTTGTCAATTGCTTGAGGACGTTAGTTAACTTCGCAACTTGAATTGTACGTGAATCAGCACCACTAAACATTTTGAAGTGTATTTTGTATTTGAGAAGTACAATCGAGTTTAAAACATTTGAAGGCAATTATCTTCGTATGTGTGGTCCCTCGAAAAGATGGAAGAATGTGAATTATTATTACCTCTTAATAAGGAAAGTGCAATCATGCCATTTCTAATTGCCCCTATGTACCTGCCAGCAGTATGAGCTTCGAACCCCATTTCCGTAACTTATTGCAGTGAAATGATATATCTCAATGCTCAAAACATTTAACATGGATTCACATTGACTATTTCACTTCACATATTCTCATGGAAACAACTCAACATGTGATCTAGTACCCCCTTCTCTATTCTTGCTTCATGTCTAGAGATTTGCTCGATTTCTACCAAGCGCTTCCCTGTAGTATCTTCACGATCGTTACAGACTACAACCTATTTGTAATATATCGAGTAGCGTTGCCGTTAAAACATCGATTCTACCCTCAGTAACCAATCCTTTCACTTGAAGTATCTTTCAAGAGTATTTACATAATTCAACTATATGAGCATTCTTGTTACCCAATCCTATCCCTTGCAATATACCATTACATTTTCTAAGGGATATTATGATCAATACTATTGATAGTAGTACAATTTTAAATTCTTAAAGGACCATTAGCTGAATTTTGAAGCCGCAACATTCCGAAATCCCTCTCATGTAGTTCACGTTAACCAATTTGAGCCATGTTTGTCCTATTTGCTCAAAATCCAGGTATCGCACTAAAAAGTTTGAAAGAATTATTTTGCCTATAAGTACCATTATCTTACCCCTCTCTCAGTTCTTTTTTTCTTCTTCAGTATGCGAGTTTACCTGGGGTCAGCTTTGTCTGATAGGGGGTGGTGGCCCAAGTACACTTCTGCATGCCTAAAGTAAGTGTCCGCTTCAATCACCGTCGAGTTAATTTTTTCTTTAGAATTTCGATCACGATCGAGGACGGCCGCGATGATATGGAAGGGAGGATAGAGGTTTGGCTGGTGAACACGGCCCCATATCGTACAGGCAGGAGATGGGCTCGTCTCTGCAGGTCAAATGCGATGTGGGTGGGAGGCATTGTTTCTCTGGCTTTTTAGCTGGGATTCGAAGCCTATGGTCTAATTTAGATGAACTAGATGGTTGCACATCCGGCTTTCTGCTGTTGTGCGAACGCTAGTAGAAAAATGTGAAGGAACTCTGGTTATCGTGTAGAGTTCTTTGGGTATCATATGTATAAACTTTATATTCCTAATTATGCTGTGAGCTCAATTATACCGGATAAATCTATCTCAAGTGGATGGTTGTTGAAAATATGCCATTTGCCATTTGCCTCACGGATGCTTCGGGATTCCGTTTATTTCGTAATGGCATTATACTCGAGATGAGCCACAAACAAAAATTAAGAAATCAGTATTTAAGGACGCTCAGGAGTTTTGTATTTAATCTGCTGTAGCTTATTGCATGTTATCTAAGCCCAATGAAAATCCCAGGAGTATTGGCCACGTTTAATCGAAGCATTGATAGAGCATATTTATCGAGCTGAATCGCTCTTTTCATACAAGCGTATAATATAGATACATGTACTAGCCACACTAATCAATTTCGCGAATGATGTGTATTAGTCACTAGACTAGATACTCTTCATGTTAAAGGATGTGCCTAGTAACATGCAGCCAGTCACCTAAGTCAAGATCTCATCGACACAATTACTCACTATAGGTAATCGAGTCTGTTTACATTCATTGTTATTGACTCTCTAAGAGGTACAGATATGATAACACGAAGTTGCGAGTCAATTAAGTTCCTTCAGAAATTGACTTCTCGCTAAACTTTAAGGTTTTAGGGGGAACGTGGGGTAATTTTAGCGATGGGGTAGGTGCAGGTCGCATCAACTAAGTCTAGCCTTTCTAATCAATGACACATCATTGTAAATTCTGTGAATCTACGAGCTAAAATGCGAAGGATTTTTTCTAGTACATACCATTGGCGACTATTACATTAATGTAAATCAAATGATATAGCTAGGCTGCGTACAAATTATCTATACTTATGGATTATCTACAAATAATCCGCTTTATAAATTATCCATTAAAAATTCTACCCATTCCATAGATTATTTGTTAAGGCTTTAAAATTACTTACTTCATATATATAATTCATAGATTATCTACAAATAATTTATTTACTCATAAATAAATGAATTATCTGTAAATATATAGATTATTTACGAATAATTTATAGACTATCTATAAATAATCCGTAAATATATAAATTCTCTGCTTTTTTCGCTCAAAATATGAAGCTATTCTCAGATTAATTATAAAATTATACTAATATTATAAAAGATTATGAATAGTTATATAATATACAGATAGGTAGATATCTACAGGTAATTTGTATTCGCTCTATAGACTACCTGTCCAGATTCTGAATTATTTGTTCTACAAACGGATTATCCACGGACTATCTGTTGAGGTCATTATCCGCTCTATGAATACTCGTTGTACAGTCTAGATATAGTACGATTAAATATGACTCGGATATCGGGATAGTGATACAGCTATAAGCTTCATGCATTACTGATGTACATTAAAGAAATCTCCGTACATACCTAATCATGGTCCAATTACTCTCGATCTACCTCCTCATAACACAGCACATCGAGGTGACCAACTAGAACCTCTCAAAGTTCATCCGAGCACAGACCACCATTGGCATATCGTCCACGATCACCTGCACAGAAAGTCCAAATGCTGACAGATTACGCTTATAAACCATTTTATTTGTGAACACCGATCATGCAGTCATCCCGATCGATATCCTTAAGTAGAAGATGATTAACTCCTTATCCGAACTCCGCTTTGTTGATGTTAAGAAATACAATTGTCAGCAACGGATAACTTTTTCATGATTTCGTAGCTTATAAGAACGGATCAGGCTGATACAATTCCGACAATTCATCTTTAGAGTTGCTAATATTCATTGTCCGTTTTTGATCTTATCCGCAAAATGAATTCCACCCCAAAGAACCACGGAATTGTCAAAACAGCTGTTGGTGAAGCAAGATTGCAGCTAATTCCCATCCCACGACTTCGAGATGATTACATTCTCGTTAAGACAATTGCCGTCGCAATAAATCCCACAGATTGGCAAACCATAGATGAAAAACCCAGTTCAAGGAGAAAGGGTCCCACGCTTTTAGGATGTGATTTTGCGGGGATCGTGGTTGAGATTGGCAAGGGTGTGGAGAAAGAATGGAAGAAGGGGGATAGAATCGCGGGGATGGCGCATGGAGGTTTGTCTTTTGTATAGTGACATGAATCTATTTGACAAGTGCTGATAACAACGTAGGAAATGATATTGAGCCGGAAGATGGAACATTCGCAACGTATATTGTGGTCAAAGGCGATGTGGCATTCCACATTCCGGATACTGTCAGTTTCGAGGAAGCTGCATCGCTTGGCGTCGGAGTTACTACTGTTTCTTTGGGCTTTTACAAATACTTGTCTCTACCTCTCCTGAAATTTCCACTTTCCATGCCAAATCCTGAGAGCAGACGCACGATTCTGATCTATGGAGGAAGCTCGGCAACTGGAACATTAGCTATTCAATTTGCAAAGTTGTAAGTTCTTTGTCCCCAGCCAACCATTCATTAATAACTAACGGAAACCACAAAAAGGTCCGGATTGCAAGTGATCACTACGTCATCACCGAGGAACTTTGAGCTATTGAAAAGCTTAGGCGCGGATCATGTTCTAGATTATGTAAGAGAAGATAACTTTCGACTTGTGAACTTCCTTGAATAAGCCTAAGCTTTGTTTGAAAATTGGATCTACATCTGAAATGTTCCAAACCCCAACTTATCATGCTAATACCATCCAGCATGATCCCAACTGCGGAGCCGAAATCCGCTCGCTTACTCAAAACAAACTCCACCACGTCTTCGATACAATAGCAACCCAATTCAGCGCTCAAATTTGTGCCAACGCACTGTCTACTACCGGCGAAAGTAAATATGTAAATCTCATGGGTATCGAAATACCCAGAGATGACGTCAGCAACATTTTCTTTCTCGGATACTCGATTACTGGGGAAGAGTATGAGATTGAAGGAGAAGTGTGGCTAGCTGCACCTGAAGATTTTGAACTCGGAAAAAGAGCGTTTCTATTATTGGAAAGATTGCTAGAGAAAGCACTGATTAAGAATCATCCGGTGAAGGTAATGCATGGTGGCTTGAATGAAATATTAGAAGGAATGAGAGAGATGAAAGATGGAAAGGTGAGTGGAAAGAAGTTGGTGTATAGATTTGGGGAACCTTGAGATATAAGTTATGGATGATCATGTCTCTGGAATGAATTATCGGTTCCATCTTAGCGTTCTTGTAGATCGATTAAGGACTTAGGGGATTTCCCACAATATATCACCTGGGTGCGCATACTTGTGGCTGTGAGTGTAAGTCAATCCGACGATTATGAATGCGTATCTTAAGGATTTATTTGGCCGTTAGTGCCACAAAAAGTTGATGCTCCAAGTAATTTGGACATGGAATATGTACACCACTCAACCTTCTCTTTGACTCACTAGATTTCCAGTCTAAGAATGAACTATTATTAATTGCTCCTACAACCAAAGATTTCTCAGGTCATTTGATAATCCTGAATTACTTGACATAAAGGTTTTCAGTGAGATATAAAAGAGTTGCTTCATATAGTTCAATACATCGTTCTCCTCATAGTCTTAGCTGAGTATTGATATTAGTCTTCGTTGAAGTGATTCCTCTTATTCAATGTAGAAATATTTACATATTCTTTGATATGTAACGATGGATAGTTACGACTTTCGATCGAGAATGATCATTATGACGCGAAGTCTTCCAAGTGAAGAATTTGTTCGTGAAGACATAGAAAAGCAGTGTGAAGACCTCGAAATTTGATCTCCTCTCAAAAAGTGAATAAAATTCAGCATGGTAATATATCTCGAATGAAAACAGAGCCCCCTCATTATGTAGTATCATCTCATCTGCTCTCAGCACTCGCTTGTGCCATTTCAATTACACCATAGGTGAATAACTCACTACCTAATGGGTACCTAAGAATCATCGGCAAACAATCTCCATACATCTTCCACAGCTTTATCTTGTAATGCTATAGTCAAATATTTGATGACGGATTTGTAAGCATATTGTTGGCTTCTATACCGAAGCGGTTTCTTGAACGTTTCCCAAGCTTTATCCAATGCGGTAAGACTATTCTTATTCACGATGGAATGGTCTGCACCTTGCAACAAGAGAAATCTTACATCTTCGTGGACACCACGCCTTCGCCAACGTGATGAACCAGCTGCAACAATCAACCGCAGTTTCCCCCTCACTATTCTGTGCATTGATAGGCACACCGGCATTGATAAGTACTGGTAATAGCGCAGCCGAAGCTTTGTTATGACGCACAGCAACATGCAAGGCTGTGCAGTGAGAATTGCCAAGTGCTGCTATATCTAAACCATGCTGTACTAGACAATTAACAATAATTTCGGAATTTTTAAAAAGGTAGGATCTGTTGTACGCGGGGTCTCCCTTAGCTAGGCAATGTATAAGTGTAGCTCCTGCAGAATCCTTGGCCATAATATTTGCACCAAATGAACAGAGAGTATCTACCATGTCGGGATTGCATTTTAATACAGCAGTTCTCAAAGGTGAATAATTTCGAACGGCATGTTTGTAGGCACTTTCGTAATCGGCTTCCAGGATTTCAAGTTCATTGACGCCCTTGGCAGAAGGAAGAACACTCCTTGTTTCACAGTTCAAATCTGCTCCATAATGAAGTAGGACCTTGACCATTTCTTCGTCATCGTTCTGAACAGCTATATTAAGGAGACTATGACTTTCGTATAGATATATTAAGTTTCCCGTGAGGGGATCATTGATATTTATCATGCCACAGTCAAGTAGAGTCTTCGCGACTTCAATGTGTGAGGCCTGGATAACTTCACCGAGACTCATGAAAATGATTCTGTGCCCGGGACTGCCTTTTGAATAGTGACCACTGTATTTGCTAAAGAATTGTCTAACGATCATGTCATGTCCCCCCTTAGCTGCGTATACCAATGGATAATATATGTTCCTGTAGGTATCTTCCATAGGCGCATTCCAATCAACATGTTGGTATGGCCGTAAAGTCATGACAATCGACTTCAGCCCGTAAATACAGGATACGGCCAAGATGGATGGAGGTTCTCTCATAGTGATATGGTACTCTCTAATCCTCAAGGATTTCGACCGGGGATCACGATCAAGTCTAAAACTTTCGACCCACTCTTTAAGTGATGCACTATAGCCTTTATCCAGATCATCACCGATAAACTCTTTCAAGAATCTGCTAGTTACCAGATTAGGCTGCGCTATTTTATAATGCTTGTGCCAGTACTCTTTGGCATATGATATAAATTCTCTATTCTGAAGAGTTATTTCGTCTGATTGCTCTCCGAAAACCATGGTATGGCGAGATTGGTGCAAGAAGACGTAGAGACATCGATTCAACAAGAATAACTCTCTGGATTGGATGCTGAAATAATCTCTTGGGGCGCATTTTTCCAGAAATTCTCGAACTGAAAGATGTGCAAAGCGTAAAATCTCTTCTTCTTCATCAAAGATTATCAGATTGCAGCAAACATCTATTAACTCGTTGACTGTAGAGACTAGGACTTCGTTTTTGTCAATATCAACAGTGACTGCGGCGAGCATCTCATCCTGACTGAGTTTCCGCCTCGTACTTAATAACACCTGTAATGTCCTGATGGCGGCTTTCTGACTTGGCTCTTTCATGCTCATAATGTCTTGATAGACAAGATGATAAGATTCTTCAAGTGATTTCGGAAGCTTTCTGAGAACACTATCAATGTCACCTTTAACCCTAACCTGCTTACACAGTTGCTGTATCTGCAAAGTCACCCATCTAAACCTATTTAACGGTTGATCTTATCAGTACCTGTTATCTCCAGAACAGAAGCAGATGAACCTACATTCCTTGAGATCTATCAATAAGGGCCTGAGCTATTTGCTGCTCTATTTTCTTCTTTTCTTCGGGTAATAGTTTTCCTTTGACTATCCTTTTCTTTTCTATTGCCTCAAAAACTTCCTTCATGACATAATCCTCAATATCTTTAGAAATATGACTAGGTTGAATTAAGATGCATGGTGACTCTTCAAGTTGACTGACTATGTCATAGTCTCTCCTGCTCGAAATGAAAACCTTGACAACACTGGCAGATTCATCAATGATAGTTTTCAAAGATTCAATAAGGCTGTATCTCTCACTAGGGTCGCATTCATCCAGTGCATCGATCACCACGTAGAAAGGATCTATTTGAAGTATTTTAAGAAGCACTTCGGTAGTCTCATCCAAGCTCAAGCGCTCCTGAGGAGAGAGTCCCCGGTTCTCTTTTCTCAACTTTTTGTAGACTTCAACAACAGGCTTTCTGATTGGAAGATTAGCGGTGTTTGATGATACCTGCTCCAAGATACTACGTAGAACTTCTTCAGGTTTGGCTCTCTCAGGTTCTGCAGTGTCGCGAGAACAATAGAAATATGCAACTGGAGCCGCAGTTCCCCATGCTGGAAGACTCTTGACACAGACTTTCGATCACCGCGGATCTGCAAATGCTGTCAGAACTCTCACCGTGTTGATATCTTAGTTGGAGTTACTTACGTCAAGACGATTTTCCCGCAACCGGCTATTCCATTAAGCCATAGTATAGACGATACACTTGAATCCTTCCACTGGATGTAGTCTGCCGAATTTAGAAGCCATTCGCAAGAGCCTTCAAGGCGCTCGCTCCGCTTTAATTTGTGATGCTTTCGGTACGGTATTGTTGAGAGCCATCTCAACAACGTCTCGCGCTCTTGGAATTCTAAAGAATCTTGGTAGTCCTGCAAAAATGTTGCGCTTCTTGCGATTGGTTGTTCAAATTGTCGAAGAATATCTTCGAATTGACGAATATATTGAGCGTCAATCAATCTGGTACAATCTATAACTCGTTGATGTTTAGCCCATACCATTTTAAGCCCATCTTGTAATCTATTCGAGGGCAATTTGATTGCCGAGATTAGACGGTTTGGCTTGCTTTTTCTATATATTTGAATTGCATGTGATTCAAATGTCAAAATCGCCACATAAAGTTCCAGCAAGGCTCCATCAAAGCCCGTTTCATCACTAGTAGATTGTGAGTACAGATCTTCGAGCACCTTGCACTGAGCGATCAACTTTGAGGTTTGTTCCAACCCTTCGATTAAATTCCCAAGCGACTGACTATCTTCAATTGCAATCGTAAGAAGCAATCGTACTGCTGCTCAAGGGAGAGCTGCATGACCAGGGTCGTAACTAGCGATAACGTCTCCCACTTCCTTTACTTTGTTCACCCAGAAGAGGATTTTTTCGAAGAGATCTCGAATAATCACAGTTGTGCCATTGTTCTTTTTGTATTTCCAAGCTTTTTCTATGCACAATTGCTTTTTCTTTATGGAAAGATTGTGGATATCTTGGAGAATATCCAAATAACCCGTTCGAGTGGGGTCTAGTTTGATTTCGTCTTTATCTTCCTTCTTCAGTGATTCCCAAGCTTGGTGCCATCGTTTCTCAGCCACTGTGCACTGCGGTATCATGGGAGTTGAATATGAGCTAGCCATTTGGAAAATAACACGATTTGTAAATGTTTGCAAAATATTTAGGAGGAATGAATTTCTTCTTCGTTTTTGGGGTGTTGCCATCAGAGGGAGCTGACGAACTCACCGGCCAATCAACAACCTTGCCCATTTTGAATACCACGGTTCAAGTAGCCTTTAAGAATCAAAATCACAGGGGTGGAGATCACATATGATTTGCTGATTATTAGCCCAGTCACCGCAGCTTGGCAATAAGTTCCAAATTAACGTTCTTTCTAGTTCAAGACTATAAAGGGTAAATTCCATTAGATCAGTTTGTTTCACACACCTTCTCTAGGTATTCCAATTGTGATTATTTTTGTTCCAGTAGAAGGAGGTGGAACTTAAGCCTTAAACCCGAGTTTAATGAATCGCGCCCGATGCTCGAGTGGGCTCTCAGGCTGATTCTATGCAGTATTGTCTCGAACTCAGCTTCTAGACACGCAATAGAGAGCTGGATGTTTGCAGGATGCGCCTTGCACGGGTTTTGAGTCTCGCACCCTCTTGTTTAGGTATGAGAAGAGTTATAGTACTTTGAGATACCTCTAGTCCATAGTCTGAGCTACAGGTTGTACAATTCAATACCAAGCGCGTCAATTGACCCCCCTTTGTTTTCGCCTCCTCTCTCATCCCCCCCCGTTACCCCGACCGAGAAAACTTCCATCCATCTCCCCCCCCCTCCCCAAAACAATCTCCCACCTAGACAAAACCACGTAGCTAGCACATTCCATCCAACTCAGCTAAATTCTACTCCAAACCAACCCTAAGCCCTCAGCTCAATCACCACTACATAAATAAATCCTCCCCCCAAGATTCACCACCCAATAAAAAACCCCCTCACAATCCAATCACCGGACAAACTAACAAACACACAACAAAAAGCCTATCCACAATGACTCGACGACTTTAGGTAATCAGATGAGCGAGTAACCCAAGTACTTCAAACCACTGTCAGGGAGCTCAAGGGTGGGAAGAAGACAGAACCAAGAAGAGAAATATGACAAATACGATGAATGAAAAATACATATGATCAGAAACAAGCATGAGCAACTTCCCACTTGCTTATTTTTTTTTTTTTTTCCTGCTGTTTATTTTCAGAGTTCCTTGCCTCTGAAATTAGAAATATTCCACTACCTATTTTGCTACTAGCAAAGTGTATGTATGAATAGCTGAGTACGTCTCGTGTATTCCTGATATTCAAGACTGATACAGAGAAAAATGCTTACAAGACTTGACATCAAAGATATGAAAGGAGACCAGAGAATTCTGCCTCATCAATATACATATTATCACATCATACAATTATCCACACCAAACAAAATCACTTCGTGAAATTTTACAGACACAACAAACCATATCAAGAACATTCCCAAAGATGAAGCGGAAGACTAAGCATTAGTCAAAATAACTATCGAATTGATATGTTCATGACTATCCATCATCTAGTTATTTGACTACTCTCTCCAATGGATTCATTATCCACCCTCATATCTCTCAAAATCAATTCATGCATCCCTCCACCCTCATACAATCATGCAATGCATCCTTATGAACCCATTCCATTCCGTCCCACCCCCAACCATCATTTGAGTCGTGAAGATAACTATTTGAAAACAGTGAATTTGTATGCCTTTTAGAAGAGTGAAAACAAATCCAGCCAGCCATAATGTTGATATAAATCCAGATTTATTGAATGTGCAATCCAGATTTTTACTTGTGCATCAAGTCGTTAGACAATGAAAATAAAGAAAATAGTAAAAGCAGGAAAATGAATTTTTGGTCGTAGTAACACAGTTAATTTTTAGTATGAAGATCGAATGCTTCCCCTCAAGAAAGATCAACAACAGCTATCAAAGGATGTGCAAGCTACTTATGGCCAAATAAATTAATGTCCATAGTTGCCACCCCATCCACCGCGCTGTTGGTTATTGCCAAAACCCTGGTAACCCCCGTAACCTTGGTAGCCTCCATATCCACTACTCTGGTGACCTTGGCCAGCAGCCTGGTGACTTCCAACACCTCCAAGACCGCCATATTGGCTACCAGCTTGGCTACCATGGAGTCCATGTCCTTGAAGATGACTTGGGTATCCACCATATCCACCTTGTTGGGATTGAGGTGGTGGCAAGACTGATCCAGGGGTGGCATTAGTGGCAGAACCAGGACGTCCAGCTTGGGACAAAGATGGACTTGGTCCATTGGTTGTCTTTGATTCACCGAATGGTTTCAAGTCATCACTAGCTCCTGGTTGGCTACCTTGAGTTGCATTGTAGTGCTGACCTGAAGGATAAGCACCACGGCTAAATGCATCATGAGAACCAGCACCGAATCCACCGCTTCCACCTAATGCTTGAGGAGTCTGGGTCGATTGGGATGATCCAGCTCGGCCATACTCGCCCAACCCTCCTCCGACTGCGGAATCGCGACCATGGAGAGAAGATCCAGCAAATCCTCCAGCAGCGGGGGTAGAAGTGTGGTCATATGGTGCACCAGGGGACATGTAACCTTGGTATGGTTGGCCATGAATGCCAGCCTTTCCACCACCATATGGAGAACCACCGTAGCCGCCGTACCCCCCCGCTTGTTGGAATTGGCTCATGTAAGCATTGTAGTATGGGGTTTGATAGTAAGGATGACCATATGGATAGGCTCCCTGAGGTTGTTGTGAATGGCTAGGTTGAGGTTGAGTTGTTTGAGCAGCAGCACCAGTTTGTTGTTGGCTTTGAGCTACTGGGTTAGGAGTAGTGTGTCCACTGTTCTGTCCTTCTCCTGCTCCTGCAGTTGCATAGCGAGATTGGGATTGTTGAGCAGAAGTTTCAGTTTGGGGTCCATTATATCCACCATAAGATCTTTGAGATGATGAAGCATCTTGACCTTGGCCACCTTGTTGCAAGTTATATTGTTGCTGATAGTAACTGTTGTAGTTTTGTCTTTGTGGATCAGAGGTGTAGTAAGAAGAGTAATCGTTGGGTGCAGAAGAGAATGCACCAGATTGTTGCTGTGCCTGGGATTGAGATTGGCTTGGGTAACCTTCAAATGGGCTTTGCGAGCTTGGTGCTTGTTGACTGAATGCATCGTATGGCTTCTGTGGCAATGAAGACTGCTCTTGAGATCCAGGTTGTCCATATCGGCCATATTGACCCAATTGAGAGCCAGCTTGAGATCCTTGTTGAGGCACACCTGTGAAGTAGAAAAATTAATAGCTGCTAATTGAGTATGTAAAGCGCGAAACTTACTTTGAGAAGAAGGATGAGTTTGTGGGGAAGGAAGGCCAGGGGCAGCTGTTGGGTGAGTAGCAGCTGGCAATCCTGGAGCTTGCTTTGGGGTTGGCAAGGTTTCAGAAACCGGGGCAGCTTGTTGAGGGGCGGGAGGCAAAGTAGCTCTTGGTGCTACTGGGGAATGCTGAGGTGGTTGGGCTCTAGTCTCTGGCTCTTCACGATCCCCATCAACATCATCTTCGCCTGTGAGATTGAATGCGCCGAATTGTACAGCCGCTCTATCCACTTCACGATTTCCTGGCATGCGCACAGCTTCTTCTTGGTCAAGGACACGGCGTTGGAAGCTTGGTGTACGACCTGATGATCCGGTAGCTTTTAGTGCAGAAGCTTGGAAACCGCTGGTTGGAGCACGGGAAGCAGCTGAAGTTTGACTTGGCAATGCTGAATAGGGTGTAGAATTTCCAGTAGCATTTGCAGGAGCATTTCTTGGGTCCCAGGAGCTTGCAGCAGTGCTTGCGGCTGTCGCACTTGGGGGTGGAACCGATTCATCTGGAACTTGTTCGAGATTTGTTTCCGTCAATTCGTCCTTCGATGGAGTGAGATTAATATTAGCTTCGGGCTCAACAGGTGGCTCGATAGGTGCAATAGGTTCTGGGATTTCTACGGTTTCTGGTTCGGGAACAGAAGGCTCCGGCTCTGAAACGACTGGGGCTTCGACAGGTTCCTCTGGCTTGGGGAGTTCTGCAGGTTTTTCCACGGGTTCTGGGGCCTTCTTTGGCTTAGGTGCTGGTGCAAACATACTTGCCCAACTCTTTTTGACACCATCAGGAATAATAGTTGAAGCGGCAGTTGTAGCAGCAGCAGCAGTTGTAGCAGCAGCATTGGTTGCTGTAGCACCCCAAGTGTTATCAGCCTCAGCAGGTTTGGAAGATTCCGCATCGGCAGGGTTATCTTTAGTGGTGCTTTCAGTAGTGGCGGCGGTATCCCAAGCGTTGGATTCAGTTGTAGGAATAGAGACTTCGGCAGTTTCGTTACGTGTACCATTTGTATGCGCAACTGGAGCTCCACGAGTTCTGCCACCTCTGCCTCTTTCGTTACCGCGACCACGTCCTCTAGTACCGTCAAATCCACCTCGACCGCCTCGGGAGACTCTTCCAGTGTTGGTTGACTCATTAAGAGGGGCAGATGAGTTTGAATCGTGAGCTTTGGACTTGGATCGATCTTTCTTATTTGAAACTTCTCCCCATTGTGAAATGGTACCTTTGATGGTGAAAGGTCAGCAAGCGTAGTTGATGAAGAAAAGCTTGATAAAGATTGCTGAAATTTGAATGAGATGCTTACCTTCCGAAATGCGCTCAACAGTACTTTCTAGATCTCCATCGGTTTCCTCGAGGGCCATAACGACATCCTCGTCTGTCCAGCCTGGAAACAATTCTTGGATGGTGCTCACTTTGCTACCATGTTTCTTCTTTAATTGAACGACTTCACTATTATTTTGCTCAATTGATGCAGTGGTAGATGTGTTCTCGTTGGTTGCATGACTTCTTGCTCCGCCGCGACCACCAGCTCTCGATGTAAAACCTCCACGACCACCACGAGCTGAACCTCTGCCACGAGGCGTTGGTCTAGGTTGTACCTCTGACATTTTATGAGGTTATGTGTATTTGTGTAAGCAAGAGAGAACGTAATATGAGAAGAAGAGTTGAGAGAAGTGTAGAAGATTGTTGGGTTGTGGAGGGCTTTCGTTGTATTGTTAGAGAGGAGGAATGACGCTTTTGGTTTGGGATTTTAGGTGAGGTAGGTTAAAAAAGGCACAGGGCACAGATTTAAGCTCTCCTTTTAATAAAATCAGCTTGTCGCGTCAGTTGTGTAGGATTCTCCACGACGTTTACTTTTCAAGTAACAAAACTGATTTTAATATGCGAAAACAGAGGGTTAGTTACGCAATTAAAAAATTGCAATAAAAGGAAGAGATAATTATTTGAAGTTATTCAGATGACCGCCAGATAGTATTAAGACATGGTTGATTTCTTACTCTCAAATTTGGAGAATTTCTGATTCCTTTTACCACAATTGAATGTTCAAAAGTTTCCTTGGCTCTAAGTTTTAGCGCAATCATCACGTGTAATTAGATAATACCTTGGTTCGATGCATCCATTTTCACGGATCCAACTCTTATGATTGGTTGAATTGATCAACAAGGGCGTTTCGCGGCGGCAAAAAGAGCAAACCACAAAAGACCACAAGATCACGGCAGACGAAAAGTACTTAGCATGAAATAAGAACGGTAACCTGGAGACGAGTGGAAGAGGGAGAGTGGCTTAAGCAAGCATCGCACATTCGAATGCACTTATATATTGATGTCTCATGACACTTGTGACTGCAGGTGAGTTGATTACACTGTAAGGCTTTCTATCTGATAGAATGACAAGCTTTAACCATCATGTCTATCCAGATTTTGAATCAAAATAATAATTCATTGAATTGATAGAATAATTCGAAAAAAGCAGTGATCAAGGTTATTACGTTACGTCCAGAATGTGGCTGAGGCTGAGGATTGGTGGTGGGTGGCACGGGTGGGGTGGATACGACGATTATGAACATGCGCTGATTGATGGTACAACATCTTGAAATCTGCAGATTATCATTATCGCAAAAGATACCTAGTCTCTAGTCACTGCTGCTGGCATACCTCGAACCCTATCATTTGACTTAGGTATATCCTCTAATTACACTACCAATCTGACTCTTCCCCACCGGGTACGGATGTGGTAGATGAGGTGTACATACATACTGACCGTGCAAAGGTTCCTACTGCAGAAACCGAGGAAGTTGGAGTTCACTCACTCCACCTTCATCATTCCACCCACTTTCAACTATCCCATAGTTTGATTGTCTGTTGCGAATTAAGTAATCAGGAAGAAAGACTGCAGTATTACGTCGATCATTCCACCTTCAAGACGAATTACCATACATCATACCGCTTTCGAGGACTGCCATTAAACAATCTATTGCTGGCAGGCCGGACCTCTTCACGATGTTTCGGACTACTCCACCAACTCTCTTCCGCCAACTGCCCGCCCTTCTTAAATTTAAGCTTCATCAACCCCTACCCTTGACTCAACGTGAATCTACACAATTACTCGAACTTCTCACAACATCATTTCGACACCAACTGGACTCGGAGCATGGCCCTTCGCACACGAGTAGCAATGTCCAAACAACCCAATCCAATAAACAGTATCAAAATGGCAGGCCGAGGCGTCTCTCAGATTCTGGTCATAAGCACACCGATCGACACATCAAATCCATTCTCACAAATCCTCTATTCAACCAACGAACGCAACAAAGGGGTGAGCCTGGATCCACGCAGGACCCAATGGATACATTTGATAGGGCTGTTGGGCGCGGAATGATGACTTTAAACTATGCAAAAGCAATCTTGGTGGCCAAAAAGAGACAGCTTCAGTCCTCGCACGAAACATTGGAAGAAAGTATGAAGAAATCAGGCGCTGTGCTCAAAATCTTGAAGTGGTTGACGTCAAGCGGTATAAACCAGAACACTGAGTTCTTATTGCAAGACCAAAGATTTGCAATTTTACTCTTTGAATTCATGCGTGCAGAAGGTTATGAAGAAGTGTTTTGGGCGTGGATAAGCAAAGCCATCCACAATATCAATGCTACAGAATTTGAATTTCGTGGCGTAGCTCAACTCCTTTCTAAAATTGTTACACTTACAGCCAGGCTCGAAGCATCGTTTAATGATTCAATCTCTATTCTACTTCGAATAACAAACATGGCGAAAGACTTGCGCTTCGAAGAGACTCACAGTCTTCTTACAGAACCTGGACAGCACGTATTTCACTTAATTGTCGAGTCCTCTCGACAAGTGCGAGAAGCCACTTCATTAGAAGCTTTCAAGACATTCCAACAAATTCTGCCAGCGTTTAGCATCCATGATGTTGACCTGCACACTTTAGATTTATATTCCCCATACCATCGATCCGCAGATCATTTCTTGGAATTCCTTCGACAACAACATGTTTCGAAAGGGTCAGAAAGCGAGGACGTTGTACAACCATTTGAAAAAAATGAGGCGAAGAAGATGGTTTCGATATCTCTGATGGCAGCCAAGATTCTACTTGAGCAGAATCGGGTCAATGATGCAACTTGGGTAATGGAACACTTGCGCACAAATTATCCTAAACTGTTAGGAATTGAAGCAGATAATCAGGAACGGAAAGGAGAAGTTGATGAGGCATCGAGTATTCAAATACTAGAGTCTTTCAGTATAGCTTAAATCGCAGCTTGATTTCTAGTTACGATGATGAGCATTCGGGTGTATTTACATGTAATTGGCGTTAGCGGCTGGATGATGATTGATTAATTGATGGTCGGAGGGATGGGAAATGCATTGCGATACTCATATATCAAATGGCCGTGTTTGGAAATATACCATGAGACTTGGATCAAAGTCTATAAATAAACAGCTCTCTTTGATTACTTTTACTATGGAATATTCTCGTTAGTATTAAGATTCTTCAACTTCCTACAACTTCCTACAACTCTCAATTACAGTATTAAGTCACCTCGTGAGCTAGAGCATAGTAGAATTTCGACATCAACATCAACATCAACCTTTACCGTATTGGTATATTTAAATGATTCGTAGCATTTTTACCTTTCTTTGGTCTGCATACTGCTACTACTCCGTACATTCATTCTATACATGTACTCTGTATTCCAGCACGTAGAATTGTAAGACAAGTAATGACGTTATAATCCTGTTCATTCCTGGTCAGCATCACGTGAATAAGCGGATCTATCTCTGCATTAGCTTGATGCTATCCCCTTGCAGGTCTCGGGATCAGGTACAGGACAAAACTCTTCATCATCAACATGAACTCTCATGGATTGAATTGAGTTTCGGGATTGGGATCGGGATCGGGTAATTGAGATGAATGCACCTTCAGCCGTTCAGATTTTCTGTTCTACAGTATATGTCTTTTGATATCATTTGTGATGAGATCACCCACGTATTTATCTTTTTCTTCAGTCATTTCTGCAGTGATATATATGTGCGGGAATGCATCCAAGCCCTGCCATTTCCCCGCAATTCAGATCGGGTTTTGATTGCATTGATTGCGCCTCAAGCACCTAGAAGATTCTGCAGAAACAGAAGAAAAGCCGTAACCGACCATGTCCGATCAAATCAAATCAAAACATAAAGGAAAGGAAAGAAAGAGAAGGAAAAGAGGAAGAGGTAATAAATATTGGTGGGCTCAATTAGGTATTATATTCCTCTTTTTTCCAAGGATTTTCGATGCCGCAATTAACTTCTGGGATATTTGATTCGTTGATCGTACCTCTTGAACTTGATCTTTGACGTATTGAGTGCCGCCAGCCATACATACTCAAAGGTTGCAGCTAGAAGATCTAATCCATTTCCGGTATCCCTCCCTCTACGGTAACCCGGAACTAACCTTGAAAATCATTGCAAAAGCTCGTAGCGCCCGAGAGAGCTTGCAAGCTTGGAGCGTCATATTGCACATATTTGCTTTGCTTTGCTTTTCAACGTCAACTCTTTGATTATTTTTCCGTTTACTTGGTCGCAACACCTCACTGCCGACGAATTTCTCTATTTGATTACTCCAATTGAATCGCAAGAGACAATTGAAAAGATCGTTGAACTTGGATTGATATTTTTATCTCGAGTAACTGAGTTGCTGGAAATTCCGAAGAAAGAACCGGAAGACGAGAAGTTTGGAAAAGATGGCTGATAATAAGATCGAAGAAGGCGACAAAGGTATGTCGAGATCTATCACTAGTTTTCAATCTACTACAGAGGAGAATTCTGGACTTTACTATCTGAAAACTTCTTGATTTGTACAAACTTCCCCTCACAAATACCATTTCCATCCTCGCAAGCTTTGCGCTCCGAGATTCCTTCAACTTCATCAACTTCCTTAACTCCACTCAACTTCACTTCACTGCTCCTCCATCACTATGAATTGCCCATTTTTATCATTTCAAACCAAACAATGGCGATCTTCAATTTACCTCGGCTCAATTTCACACGACTAACAAATCTTCGTACAGTTTCCTGGAGCTGGGGCGGCGCAAATCCAGATGGAACCGCTGCAGAAGTAAAGGCGGGTGAAGTCTCAGTTACTAGTCATCGCGGAAATGAAATCAAGAAGACGGGGGATGAGGAAAATCCAGCAGTACACATTGAGAGAAATGGGAATGACGTGGTGAAGTTGGCTAGTGAGTTGAACGTGAAGGAGAAGGTTGAAGAGAGTAAGGAGGGAGAGGAAACTAAGGAGGAAGAGAAAGCCAGTGAATCAAAGGAGACTAAGGAGGAGACCAATGCCGAGTCCAAGGATGAAGAAATGAAGGATGAAACCAATGGTGAAGTCAAGGCCGAGGAGAAAAAGGTCGAGGCCAATGGTGAATCGAAGGATGAGGTCAATGGTGATTCCAAAGATGAGACCAATGGCGAAACAAAGATCGAAGAAGAGAAGGCCGAGACCAATGGTGAATCTAAGGATGAAGAGATGAGAGATGAAGTCAATGTTACAGACGAAAAGGCTGAGTCCGAGGAGGAAAATAAGAAGGAAGGGGACATTGAGATGAAGGATGGTGAAGATAAGGTTAAAGAAAAGACGACCGAAGAGAAGCCCGAGGAAAAGAATGTCGAGGAGGACGAGAAGAAAGATTCAAACAACAAAGATAAACCAGAGATTAAACCCAAGGCCGGCAACAAACGCAAGGCAGATGAATTGGACGATGAAGCAGAGAGCTCAGAAGAGAACGGCACCAAAAAACAAAAGACCAACGCTACTTCTAATGGCACTGCCAACGGTACTGATTCAAAGAAGAAGCCTGGTAGACCAAAGGGTGCATCCAATGGAACACCTGCTAAAAGAGAAAAGAAACTTCCTGCTGTTGGTCAAGCTCAACGAAAGACAAGAAGTCAAGCACGCAAGGAATCTGTTTAGGTCTCCCAAGAGATTACCTTTTCTTCATTTAAAGGGTTGATGAATTTTTCACTTGTTGAACACATCTCCGACAATCAAAACCTCTCGTGGAGCGAATAACGAAGACGATTTCTTTCAATTGGAAACTTTTACGATATAACATTTGGATGCCAATCAATTGAATCGAATCATTTGGGCTATATGGGGAAATACAGTGGTGGGTTTTAGTGGTTATTTGAATTTACTTTATTGGCATTTTTACGCTTTGTATATTATTGCGGGAAAGGAAAGCTACTTACAGAGATTCAATCATTCTCTGTGGTGAAATTGTTCGATATGGATTGCTTGAAAGGGCAATGGGAGATGAGAGACGGGAAATGACGAAGTATGGGATGAAGATGCGATGCAATGCAATAAAAAGTGGAGCGAGCTATCAACAGGAAACCCAACGAATATGCAGAATGAAATTATTATTTAACTGATGTTAAACGCAAATTCTTTTTATCTCTATGTTTGGATACAGGTAGTTAGTTTAGTGGGTATATAGAATTTTTGGGTTCGTGATATGGTTCGTGATTTGTGATGTGCTTTGTGAGACAGAATGAATGTTGACTGATGAATGATGAATGGGGTAATGATCATATCACACTCATTCTACGGAGTACGTGCTTAGTAGGTACGTGAATTGAATCACGTTGATAGGGTTTGAGACATTGGATATATATGTAGCTGTGTCGGTAGCTGTGTGATATAACCTTTTAATTGTATACCTTGTGGGTTATGCGTCGTTTGGGTTTTGGTGGGTGGTGGGTGGTGAAAGTGGAGGTTTGGGAATTGCGGGATTTTCGGATCGTTGAATAGTAATGTAGGTAGGTGGTGGATGGTGGATGGTGGATGTGGAATTGATTAGTTTTATGCGGATGGATAGATAGATGGGTGAGGGAGGGAGGGAATGGGAGAGGGGAAATATTGGTATGTATGTATGTATGTATGTATCTATGTATCTATGTATGTATGTATATATATATATATATATGAAAATGTATGAGAGAGTGTATGGGTGTGGTAGAATATACTAGGTAAATAATAGAGTAGGTATGATAGATCATACAGTGTCGTGATTAGTTGTATGGGAATGGTTGATACTAATGGTGATGATACTCATGATACTAATGCTAGTGATATCGTAGAATGTGTAAGATACGATTGATTGATTGATTGATTGATGATAGGAATGCTGATTGATGGTGATGATAATGCGTGCGTACTCCGTATGGATGTCGGTAGAAAGTTTAAATATATGGAGTATCTAGATATACATTGTGCTGAGGACCAACGTAGCATTGTCACATGGATATTCCCGGGGGTGTTTTTGTAGTAGAGATGGATCATGTGTGGATGGGGTAGGTAGGTATAGATGGGGAAATGGGAAATGGGTAAGGAGTGGAGATGGAGATGGAGTGGGAAAGAAGAGGGAGAGAAGAGGGAGAGAAGAGAAAGAGGGAGAGAAGAGGGAGAGGGAGAGTGAGAAGAGAAGGGTCTGGACCACCGGGACGGGTCTGGACTGGATTGTTTGTTTGTTTAAGGGGAGGTGGTTGGATGATGGGATAGGTTGGATAGGTTGGATAGATTGGATAGATTGGATAGTTTAGATGGATAGGTTGAATAGGTTGCATAGGTTGGATGGGTTGGATGGATTGGATGGATTGGATGGATTGGATAGGTTGAATGGACTGAGATGTGGGATGAGATGGGTGTGGGATCAGAGATGGATGTGAGGTGTTGGGACACTGCTAGTAGACAGTAGATAGTAGATAGTAGATAGTAGATAATTATCTTTGTAATTTTCAAAGGGAGAATATATTATATAAATTAGATAAATAGATGGATAGATAGATAAATTGCTACAAATCAAGAGATGGATGTGTGTATATATATCTATATCTTCTTTATCTCAACAGAATATTAAATAGTAGATATGCTTATCAGATAGTTATTATCCCTCTCTCTCTCTATCTACCTACTAGATATTCATTCCCATCCATCAACAACCACAAAAACACTACATAAACGCCAAGCACAACTACAGCATAAACCTCGGGATACTGATTTTGCGAGCCAATAGGCAAAAGGGAATAGAAGGGTTTATTCAATTTTAATTCATTTTATGATTCATTTTCATGCTTTTTAGGGTTGAATTCTCGGGAGTGGTTACGAGTGAGGTTTGATAGGTAGGGAAGATGGTTCTGGAAGGGAAGGAGAGACTTGGATTTGGTAGATCTTGGACGGATGGATGGATGGTAGTATATTGAGAATCGGAGAAGGGAGAAGGGAGAAGGGAGAAGGGAGAAGGGAGAAGGGAGAAGGGAGAAGGGAGAAGGGAGAAGGGAGAAGGGAGAAGGATGGCTTGGGATGGCTTGGGATGGCTTGGTGATGATATCTTTAGAAACAAGAGCTCAGGAGACTACCTAGACAGATAACGGTTTGTTTATTGTTGGTATGTCGTAAGTATAATAAGTGAATGAATGAATCAAAGTAAAGGAATTCCATTGTTCGTTCGTGATTCATCCTCTCTAGTTTCTTTCGATTTATTATTCTGTTACTCTGCTACCTACTCTATTCCTACCTCTCCATCCGTACTTCTCATTGTGGCTTGCTTTTCAACAATTTCCCGAAAATGCTTTGATTTACTCATTCATCACTCTCAAGAAAAGATAAAACCCTGGAACGAGCGTCATTTTCATAAATATCCCAGTCGTTCATATTACAACTTTACATTCGGTATAGGCTGGGTCAACAGGGGTCAGTTTGGGTGAAAAAGATTATTCGGTAGGGGTTGAGCCAGACCCCGTATCGCTATCAAGCTATCAAGGGTTATTCAAAGGAACGACATACCAATACTGAAATTCATACATACTTTCACACATCCATTCTACACCTGGGCACCCCTCGATCTTCAATCCATTCAAATCCTCACTCACTCACTCACTCACTCACTCACTCGCTCACACGGAGGATTACACACCACCACGACTCTTTTTCACAGAGGAGAGAACCTTCAAACGTCTCGTCACTATTTCATTACTTTACCTGCAAAAGTCGAAAACACGCTCTTCGCGCATACGAATACCAACTCGTCTTCTTCGTGTGGCCTTGGGCCTGTCACTGCCACTCGCTTTATGCAAAAATTTACATAGACATATTCAAGATGGAGGTAGGCAGTACGACGGGGGTACTCACCAAGAGAGTGTCGGATGCTGATAAATTGTTGGATTTGTTAGCAAATCCTTTTCGAGCCCAGGTTCGTTTGTCCCCAATCATGTTTTCTTTTTCTTTGAAACATTCATGTCTAATTGTTAATGGTTGGGTTAGTTGTCACAAAATTCCATCTATGCAAGTTTCGGCACATCGATAGGTTTTACCTTGTTACTCGCCATCGGTTTCTCTCTTCTGCGTCCGTACAATTCCGTCGTGTATGCACCGAAACTTAAGATTGCAGATGATAAACATGCACCGCCGCCTATTGGAAAGGGTCCTTTGGCTTGGTTGGGACCGGTGGTCAGGACCAAGGAAATTGAGTTGGTGAATCTCATAGGTTTGGATGCGACCGTATTTTTGAGAGTGCTGAGGATGTGTCGGAACATATTTTTATGCATTACGGTCGTGGGCTGTGGAATCTTGATCCCGATTAATATGACCAACGGACAAAGCAATTCCAAAACGGATTTCGTATCTCGGGTGACGCCGGTCAATGTTTGGGGTTCGAGTAATTGGGGTATGACCATCTGCGCCTGGTTATTCGATCTCATTATTGTCTTCTTCTTGTGGTGGAATTACAGGAAGGTCCTCAACTTGAGGAGAACGTACTTTGAAAGTGCGGATTACCAGTCCAGTTTACATGCGCGGACGTTGATGATTAACGATATTCCGAAGACGCTACGCACGGACGAGGGAATCGGTAGAGTGATTGATGTTGTGGCGCCTCAATCGTCATTCTCGAGAACAGTCGTGGCGAGAAATGTGAAGGAACTTCCGGAACTTATTGAACAGCACAATCAGACCGTTCGTGATTTGGAGGGACACTTAGCCAGATACCTTAGGGATCCTGCGAATCTACCCCCCAAGAGACCAGAGTGTACCCCCTCGAAAGATGATCCTAACTTTGGATCATATGTCCGAGGTCAAAAACTCGATGCTATCGAATATCTTACTGCGCGTATAAAGGAATTGGAATTGGAGATCAAGGAAGTTCGTTTGTCTGTGGATAACCGAAATCCTTTGCCGTATGGATTTGCTAGTTATGAAGCTATTGATGAAGCACACAGTATTGCATTCGCAGCACGGAAAAAGCATCCCAAGGGAACCACAATCGTACTTGCTCCTCGACCGAATGATATTATTTGGAAAAACATGCCTTTGAGTAGGAAGACCAGAAGGAGAAAGAGGATTATGAACAATATTTGGGTTACCTTACTTACGATTGTATGGATGGCACCGAACGCCATGATATCAATCTTCTTGGTCAGTTTAACCAACTTGGGTAGTGTTTGGCCTGCATTTCAAACTTCGTTGGCGCAACACACTGTTTGGTGGTCGATTGTTCAAGGTGTTGCTTCTCCTGCGGTTACATCCTTGGTCTATCTAGTACTCCCAATCATGTTCCGTCGAATGTTGGTTAAAGCTGGAGACCGTACGAAAACTGCCAGAGAAAGACATGTTACTGGAAAGTTATACACTTTCTTCGTCTTCAACTATTTACTTGTATTTTCGATATTCAGTACCGTCTGGACTTTTGTCTCTACCGTCATCAACAAAACCAATGATGGAACTACAACTTGGGAAGCGATTTACGAAGCAGACTTGGGATTGTTGGTCTTTATTTCACTTTGTGATATCTCACCTTTCTGGATTACTTCGTTACTTCAACGAAATTTGGGAGCAGCTGTCGATTTGGCTCAATTGTGGACTTTGGTTTGGAGTTTTTGCGCCAGAAATTTCTCGAGTCCTACGCCTCGTGAGAT